ATCTTGGGCAACCATTTGGATCCCTTTCGAATAAAGTTTTTGCGCGACAAGTTGACCACGTAGATTTGTGGTTTGGTGGTGATGAGTCCCCAATCTCGAATCAGTTCCACTTCGGCGGACGTAAACTCTCCCGTCTTTAGAAGAAAAGCAAAGCAACGATTGAATTATTGTTGATTGGTTGGTTGGTTGATTGGCAAAGTAAGTAAAAAAGAAAAGGTTAGACGAATTGTCACCTTCGCCAGGGTCTTGAGAATATATAGAAACATACATACCTGCACAGGTGTATTGGAATCGATGAGTTTGGTGCATTTGGAGAATGCGTCGACAAATGTATCACTCAATGGCGGCACGGCACTTCTGGACAAGCCCTTTTCTTTGCGGACTCGTTCCCTTTCCTTGTCTTCAATTTTCCCAAGAGCATCTTTGTCTTTGGCACACAACTCTCCTTGAATGGTTTCCAAATCACGAATTGGGTCGACACTGTCATCGACATGAATGACTTCGTCACTATCAAAAGCTCGAATGAGCTGATAGATACCATCCACAGCGGCAATATGACTCAAAAAGGCATTTCCAAGCCCAGCCCCTTCGCTGGCTCCTTTGATCAATCCAGCAATATCGGTGATTTTCAACACAGCGGGAACGACGGATGGTGGCTTGAAGGTTTCTGCCAAATATTTGAAATTCTTGTCGGGTACAATGGCCTGGACGACATTGGGATCAATGGTGCAGAAAGGATAATTGGCGGCTTCGGCATGGCTAGCTCCAGCCAAGAGATTGGTCAAGGAGGATTTTCCAACATTGGGGAGACCGACTGATAGCGTACAGTACACAAAACGATCATAGCGAGAAGAATGACAAGACAAACAAAAGAAATGAGACAAAAGACTAGAAACCAAAGCGCTCTCCCTAAAAAGATCCGTCTTTGAGATCTTCTACCTACCAAATCCCATCGTCAAGGTATTCTTGACCCGACCAAAGCGGGCGGCCTTCATCATGGGATCATTGTCCTCGGCATCCTTTTTCTTCTTGGGCGGCATATTGGCTTACTATCTCGGGCTGGCTACTGCTTGTTCTAACTCAGGTGGTACGAAGTGGATGGAACGACGGCAGATGATTACTCAATGGCCATGGTTGAGGAATGGACGGTCACGGTGGAGCCAAACGTTTATCGCGCTTCCGCGTGGATCTTAAGGAAACGACGCGCACTTGCTCATAAATTGAGTGTTATCGAATCTGCAATCGAGTGACTCGATTCGATTCGATTCGCTGCTCTCGTCGGCTGGACTTTTTGTTGAGGTTTCTACAGCTGTGCATTCTGTTCCTTGTTTTGGTTTGCCGGTCCGAAGATACGGCAGCGGTGTGCTTATCAGGAACCACAGCAAGCTACTACTACTAGCCAGAAGAACACCAAGCCAAGAGCTAACTAGAAACCAATGCTGGCATTGGGGCTAAGCTTCCTTTCAACTGCAATACACGGCTCTTAGCCTTATTCGCGACTCGATCCTAGATAGGGTTTGAGTTCGACTCATGACTGAGTCTCTCGTGAATAGTCATTTGAGACAGGGTTCTCAATGACCGCGCTACAGTCTACTCGCGCTAATATTTATAATATTATATTTATCCTCGCTGTAATATTTATTAAATCTCAAGGTCCCCCCCTCAGTCCCGGGTATCCGTGAATGAATCTTTCGAGCAGCAACAAATCTTTCGAGCAGCCCGACAACGTCGTCCAATCCATTCCAACCGTTTCAATTTGACGGAGACAGCATGTAAAATGCCAATATCGATCCAATGGAGGTGGGATTCCTCGCACCTCTGCCCGTGGCTGTCTTGTCTGGGCCAGCCCAAGCGCTGGTTGTTTACGTGCAGTTTTCGAAGGATGGTTTCGAGGAGACAAAAACAATTCTCCTGAGCTGCCAAACAATTTCACCCAAACCATACCAAACCCTCCAATCTGACATAGACCAACATGAACGGCGCCGATTCAACCAACATGAACGGCGCCGATTCAACCGTAACGAAGAAAGGAACGAAGAAAGGCGGAAAGAGGGGACCAAAAGCAGGTTCAACGAATGCTACTGGGAAAAAGAACAGAGGCTGAAGAAGCTCTCAATAAGCTGTCCGAAAGTGCCTCTGCTTTGGGTATCAACCAGGCAGCCACTGTGCATCTTGACAGGTTTGCTAGGGCATTGAATGTGGCTAGGGCTGCTAGGGCAGGCAAACGTAAACGCGACGGCTCTATCCATTCGTACTTTACTAGTGGAACCGGCCCCTGAAAGCCTTATATTTATTCTCTCTAATATATTTATCGAAATCCGCAATCCCCCCCCATAAATAATAGAGCGAGTCAACTGTAGTCATACTAGGTTGATGATGAAACATCGCTCTAGATATTTAGCCGGCGTGGAGTACTTCCACGCTACTAGATCCAGGCTAGACAAACCTTTCCACGCGTTCCGTTTAGGATCGTGGAGAGACGTAGGATTAACTACCACAACCTACTCTATCACACTTTATATCTCCCGAGGAAAGCCAGATTAACGATCCCTTGATGATGATCACTCTTCGTTGATTAGTTTTCATAGCTTCTAATCTCTCTCATAACTTTCATCTCTCAAACTCAAAACACCGGAAAGATCTTTACACTAGCTCTTTAGCGTAGTGCATTTTGTCACACAATCACAATAGCTTTCAGCTACCCAATACCCCAACCTATTCCTTCACCAATGAAGATGGCTAGCAAGGAAAGCATGCGTTCCGCAACCTTCGAAAAACGAAGTTGCGTGACAAACCCAATTCTCCTCTCACGATCGACAATGACGGAGAAACCGAGAATCGGCGATACTCGTGCAAACAACTCTGCAAACTTCGCAACCATGTTGCCAGCGCAAATCAGAGAAGACTCTGATAAGAGAGACAAACTCTCTATCAATTTCTAATCACTAGGATGAGAAATCTCTATTGAGGATTAGGCCAGCGGATGATGAACTCAACGGAACATGTTCGCGATTTCTCATACCAAAGTGATGAAGATATATCTACTAAGCTAGTAAACAAGATTGTTTGCAACTGATGAACTCTAGGCAAATTAAATGATTGCCTAGAAGCTGCTCAAATAGATCTGATGATCTATTTAGCAATACGTTAACCTCGTCCGTGGCAAACCACCTCGTAAACGTCAACAGACAAGAGAATCAAAACATCGTCCCTATGTTATTTAACAAGACGAGAGAAAAAGGTAAACCAAAAACCGTTACACTCCTTGCTTGCTGGATACAGGGCATCCGGAACCTTGATTGCTTCAAACCAATGCTAAGAATATTACGCATGAAGATCTTGGGGCGTCCAAAACGATGTGGACTACCCTGCAGGAGAATTAAACACTAGCAGAAGTCAAGGGTGCATTTATGATTCCTGAATTTCACGAAGATAGAATTATCGATGTTTTTTTTTTTGGGATCTACACAGTCACCAAGAGCTTGGGGGCGTATGACATGATCATAGGTTCGATGAGACATTCTCTCTGATCGAGGATTCAAGTTCGATTCACTAACCATGTCAGTGGAGATGGGACGGCGCATCTTTCCTATGAAGACAGCGACAGCAATGAAGAAGAAAACTTTTTTCATTCCTGATCCTAAACCTACTGCTGTTGAAGACAGTGCAGATCGTCTCAGGAAGATTCTTGAGGCGAAATACGAACAAGCTGACGTTTAAAGCAGGTTGCCCGAAAGTCAAGATCAGTTAAACAAGGGAGAGAAGGAACAGCTTCATTCCTTACTGAGGAAGTACTCTGACCTATTTGCTGGTACTTTAGGAAAGTGGCAGATGGACAAATACGAAGTAGAACTTCTCCCTGATGCAACTAACGCTAAAAGCTAGTGTTTTAAAAGATCTTTCGAGTGTTTTTGAGTTTGAGAGAATGAAAGTTATGAGAGGATAGATAAGCATATGAAAACTAATCAAACGAGAGAGATCCACACCCAAAGGATCGTAGATCTGAAATCCCGCGGGAGACTGTAGAGTGTGATAGAGTAGGTTTTGGTAGCAATACTAATCACTCCACGATCCCAAAAACGGAACGCGTGGAAAGATCGTCTAGCAATTTATCTAGTCGCGTGGAAGTACTCTACGCTGGCTAAATCTAGAGCGATGTTTCATCATCAACCCAGTATGACTAGAGCGGTCCATGAGAACCCTGTCTCAATGAAATATTTCACAGACGAAAGACTCCATCATGAGTCGAACTCAAAAACTATCATAGGATCGAGTCGCGAATAGAGCTAAGAGCCGTGTATTGGCTGCATTCGCAACACCCTGATAAGGGTCACGGAAGGCGCGACATCAGTCGGACAAGGAGACAATATGAATTAAAGTGCGGGGCACTTCTCCGGAAGATGGATGTAGACATGTGCGTCGCACGAATGGCAATCCTACAAAGGGGATCAGGCCTTGTATGGGTGTAAATACACTATGTTCCAAGTCTGGTAGACTGTGCCGTTATGGGCGGTAGTATGTCGGAGCGTACAGTGCCATTGTTATTGACTCGATCTGTGTGGTAAGGACCTTGTGCGATGGCTGACCGTACTAACGGTTTTGATACTGATGAATCATCATAGTGCCGTTGACATGGTGTTGATAAGGGAAACGTGTCGTGTTCCTCCTTATCATGGTTTTTCTGGATAAGTCGTTGGCGACGTCCCTTAATGTACTTCCAGATTTAGACTTTGAAACACGGATGTAGTGAGTTTTGTCACGATTGATGCGCGTTAACTTGCGACGTAGTCCATATTCATTCCGGAAAGTCTTCTCGACCTCTGCGCGGGACTCACGTTCTCTGTCTATGACAACCTCGGCCGGTCAAGGATACTGGGTAACCCACGTCTGTTTCAGAACGATGGTTACTCCGTTTGCTGTCTTGGAGCAGCCATTGGTAGTTCATTGGTCCCATGAATCTACGACGTTCCTTCCTGTTGGTACAGTAGGAAGAGCGATAGCTGAGTCGCATCTATTTGCTTTTTAGTTAAGGGTTGGCTACCTTCTCGAGTAGTCCAAATGTCTAGATACTCCAGTTTTTCCTTTCGAGGGAGGCCTTGGTAGTGTTTATTTCAATCCCAGACTTTTTGACAGTCTTTGGAAAAAGGATTAATCTAACTATTCAACGCGATCCGCTAGATTGACGTCCGTTAGGATGAGTTGATCATCAATGTATGCAACGACATATTTCATAAGTCATGCATGCGTGTTTCCATCTTCCTTTGGAAGACTTCGGGACTATTACATAGACACATTGGCAACCTCTGATACTCGTGCTTTCCCTTCGTGAGTGCAATGGTATAGTGTTGTTTTGAGTGAGGTGACAGCTGGATGTGGTAGTGTCCCGTGTACAGGTCTAGACTAGTAGCGCAATTGAATCCATCTAGGTTCAAGACCATGTCCTGTATTTTTGTAATAGGATAAGGCTTCCGATTGATCCGTTTGTTTGGTTTCCGAAAATCAGAGATGAAAATCGTAAGATCCCTCTTTCTTGGAATGAATAAAAGTTGGTGCCGCCCCCTCGGAACGATTCAAACCTATCTTGAGTAACTCCTGCCTCGCCAAGACGTTCAACCTCCTTCTTAAGAGTGTTGGTATGGACTCGTGGAGTAGGGTGAGCCCTAGTGTAATAGGAGTTAGCGTCGGGACGAAGTCCTACTTCGTAGTCGTCCATTCGCAACTCGCCTAAGGTGTCCTCGACTGGGTCCAGGCACTTGGTTGAAAGGGCATGAGGCAGTTCTTGCTCTTCCTTATTTAGCGGGTTTTCGAACCTGGCACATCTGCCTACGTCTATTTGTTTCGTGTGTCGTCTCAAGAATCATCTCTTTGAGACTACTTGCATTGTCGCTGACAGCTTCAGGATCGGGAATGGAGATGTTCTCCTTTCTATTGGTATTTCCATTTTTCGCCGGGAAAAATGCGTGTTTCCACCCCAATGACATGGTGGTGAAATCAAACTTAATTCTAGGTCGCAGAGAGTGTCTTGACCAATGATCACGTCTTGCGGCCTTCCCAAGTTCTTTGTGACGTGTAAATTCCAATTGATAATTCTATCATCGGGGAACTCAGGAAACACGAGTGTGCCCTAACACTAACGTGGCGGGGTTCAAATTCCTCATAGAAGCAGTCCGTACTGTTTGGACGCCCCCATGAATCTTCATGAGTAAACTCTTAGCATTGAAGTTTGAAGTAATTAAAGTTCCGGATGCTTCTATATCCAGTAAGCAACAGATTGTAACGGTTTTTCGTTTCTCTTTCGCTCGTCTGTTATATCTAACATAGACGATAGTTTCAAGGTCTCTTGTCATGCGACGTTTATGAGTATTGGTTGGCCATGGACGAAGTTTAACGATGCTGAACAGATCGTATAGTCTAAGTTGGAGTGGTGCTAAAAGGCAATTACTAATTTGCCGTAGAATTTGTTAGTTGCAAACAAATCCTGTTTACTATTTAGTGAGATATCTTCATACCTTAGGTATGAGAAATCAAAACATGGTTCCGTTGAATCATCATCCTGGCCTATGCCTCAGACGGAGATCTCTCCTGCCGAATGATTGAAGTCGACTTCGGCAAGCCCTTGTCGACTGCAGCCATATTCTTGTCCATCATGTTGATGGATCAAACAGAGGAGTTGTCCTCGTTGTCGGAGTCCTCTGATTTGCGCTTGGCAACATGGTTGCACTTCGCTTTTTCTTCTTTTTGCGATCAGCCTTGACCGCATCGTGGAAAAACTTTCTTCATGAGGACAGGGAGTTCCTTGTTGGTGTAGGTATTGGCGTCGTCGGACTTGCGTTACCAAAGATCTTATTCTTGTTGTACGCTGGTTGTTATCCGTTGTCAGACGAGGACTGAGACTTGGGCTTGAGCTTCTTCAGAGTCATGCAGGGAGCAGTGTTGTGAGTGCTGGACTCGTGGGAGTCGCACCATTTTTCTTCGTTCTTTGAAGAGTGGTCGTTGTTGCGAGTAGGATTGTACTTCTTGCCTGTTGATCTTCTTCGAAGGAGCTTGGTTGCATCCACGCCCTTGTCAAAGTCTTTGGAGGATTCCATGCTGTCGCAGAATCCAATGGTTTCTCCGATAGAAGCTGAGAAAGGATCGAAGTCGAGCGGAGGGGGGTGTTCGTCCATTCTTCTTCATACCGACGAGGTGGAATTCCCAATGACAACAATGTCATGACTTCGTCATGGTTCAAATTTTGGTTGAGGTTTGCGCAACAATGGATGGAGGGACGATGAAGTTCATCGGCGTTCAACCG